GGAAGGAAGGAAAGAAGGAAGGAAGGAAGGAAGGAAGGAAGGAAGGAAGGAAGGAAGGAAGGAAGGAAGGAAGGAAGGAAGGAAGAACTCAATGGATGGGTTTAATGGACAACAGCACAGCTAAATAAAAAGCTACTAATCTATAAATCATATCAAAAAAATTAACCAGAACAGTCAAAAAGATTGAAAATGCAAACAAGAGACTAAGTGACTTAAAGGATAAAAAGAGAAGGTCAAATGTATGTTTAATTGGAGTCCCAGTAGGAATGAAGAGATAATAAGGTAGGGGAAATATTTAAAGAGCCAATAACAAATCCACAATCACAAAAGTATATTAATCCAGCTTTCATTAACTCATAGAACAAACAGACAAAATAATAGTGAAGAAATAGAAGACTTCAATAACTCTAGTTAGAAATTAATAACTGAATAATGCATATTCTTTTCAAATATACATAGAATACTTAGCAAAACTGGGCAAATAGCACAAAGCAAGCCTCAAAAAGTTTCAAATGACTGAAATTATATTGTATATGTTCTCTGGCCACAATATCATTTAAAACAAAAATCAGCAACAACAAAGTAATAAGAAAATGTTTAGAAATTAATACATACATTTCTAATCAACCCAATGAATCAAAGGAAAAAAAAAAGAAAATTAGAAGACACTTTGAAATGAACGATAATGAAAATATATAAACCTCAATACTTAGCAGAAAACTACAGCCTGACATGAATCTATTAAAAAAGAAGAGAAGATTAAAATTAATGGGGGTAAAAAGGTAGAATAAACTCAACGGTAGGGGATAAACAGATTAATAAAATAGAAAACATGCATATGAGGGAGCAACAAAACTAAGTGTTAATTTTTTTTCAAGACTATTAACATTGATAAACCACTGGTGAGACTGACCAAGAAAAAGAGGGGAGAAACCTAGAAAAAGCACAGATAACCAATATAAAGAATGAAAAAAAAAGTTATCACTACAGATTCTACAAACAATGAGATTGCAAACTTTATACTAATAAATTTGAATATTTAGATGAAATTGATGAATTCCTAGAAAAATACAATTTCTTCCATGAGAATGGACAAAATGGGATATTCACAAAACAGAAATCTGTGAAAATTAATGAGTTCCGGGAACCTGTATTTTTGAAGCAGCAGCCCAGGTAATTCTGATACAGGTAGAACACAGGACATACTCTGAGAAACACTGCCTTAAATGCTGGTATCTCCCAGCGCTGGATTTGGCCCTATTACCTTTCACTGTAAATCCAAGGTCCTTAACCTTGGCCCTCAGAGAATCTAGGAAACACCCTCCCCCACCCCAAGTTATATATGTACCTTGTATATATATGGCATGTATACATTTTTCTAGAAAGAGAGCCATTGCTTTCATTATCTCCCAAAGTTTACAAAAAAGTTAAAAATCATTCTACTCACTCTTTCTACCTGATCTCACCCACATCCACTGAACCACTACTCACATCTCTATAACTTCCAGTTCTATATCACTGGCTCAGAATTCTCTCCAAACCCTCATATCCAATTGTCTACTACACATTTGCCTTTGGATGCTCCACAAGAACCTCCAACTCAACTTGCACAAAATTAAACACATCATTTCTGTCCTCAACAACTCAGCGTGGTCTTATTCTATTCACTCCACCAACCACCTAGCCTGTCATCTGGAAAGTCAGTTATCCTGGATTCCTCCCTCTCTTCCCACTTCCCACATCCCTCACCTAGCCTCTCCTCTCTACTATGCTACCCTAGTTTAGGCCTTCACCAGTTCTCAGCTGCAATATCTTCCTGATTTCCCTGCCTCATCTCACTACCTCCAAGCCACCCAACACACCGTTCTCTCTCCTGTTTAACATGCTCTACCAGCTCAGTGTAAAACGGAAATATTGATGCACAAGGCCTGTTGTAATCTGACATCTTCCTGTATTACCAGCGGTGTTAAGCTCCAACCATGCCCAATGATTCAGTTTCCCCAAAAGCTTCGCTCTTCCACATCCAAAATGTGGCACGCTCCCTACTGCCCTAGGATCTTTTTACAGGGTTTGTAGCACTGCAGTGCCTGGCACAGAAAGAATCTAACGCTTGCTGAACGGCAGAATGGCTGGCGGACCGACTGAGGATTCTGAGTACGGCTTCGGTCGGTGGCACTGGCACCCCTCACCAGCTGCCGGTCAGCCGCGGTCCGGTCGGGCACGAGGCTGTACACCTGGCTCTTGAGTGCGATAGGCGGCAGCGCATCTTCGAACAGGCCTCGCGGGAACAGCCCCACCAGCTCCGTGACTGCTGCGCGCGCCGACCCTGAGTGGGGAGACCTGGTCACTGGGAGGCGAATTGGGGGAGGTAAAGAAACTATTATGGGGGCGCCTTCTCCCAACATCTAAGGTGACGAGAGGAGAGGCCGCTGGGGCTGGAGTCTTGAGCCTCGCCCTGGGGTTGTCATGGTTACCTGCCTCGCCCCTCAGAGGATCTGCCTCTGCATGACCTCGTTCCCGCCACCTCTTCAGTCCCAGCGTCTCCGGGACCAGGCGCTGCCTCTTCCGGCTCATGTCCCGGGATCTTGTGGAGCCCGGGAAGGGGTAGGTATTGAGGAAGAGACCACGAAAACAGAGACTTCCGGCGCGGAGCAGTGACGTCCTCGGAGACCAGTCAGCCAGTGTAAGCTGGACAACGCGATGACGAAGGAGGCCTCCTCTCGTCCTCTCTCGGGCTCTGACTGGAAGGGGCGGCGCCGATGAGGATTCCAGTTCCTCCCGGGCCTGCTCTGGCCCCACGGCCAATGCTGCTTGGCTGCCTCCAGGAGCTCTCACATCACGGACCTCTGGCGGGGTGCCTGGGGCCACGTCGCGTTCAACTTCCAGGTGGAGAGTGCACCCTCATCCCACCGCCCACGAAGGATTTGCCCGCCACTGTCGCTGAATGATTGCATCGCCTGGAGCGGAAAACCACTTTTGCATCCCTCTTCGACTTCTGGTGTACCTGCCCGTGACGTCATAGCTCGACAGAGGTAGAAGTCGAGGTTGGCGTGTTAAGAGGTAACCAGATCCTTGATCTGAGCCCGAACTCTTCCTAACCTCACGGTCTTGGGAAGATCTCAGAGGGGGCTGAGGGTGGAGAGGTCAAGGGGAAAGGCCGTGGGTGGAGCTGGCCATGGTTCTGTGCGAGGGGCTGGCGGCCTGCCTGTTTTAAGGCCATAGCCAGGCCATCAGGAGGTTCGCTTAGTTCTGACCTGGAGTCCCCCTTCTCCAGGCCTCCTTTGTAGAAGGACAACTTTCTCCCATCTCTCAGGACCTCATGGAGCCCAGAGGGACCAAGAGAGGAGCTGGGAAGATAGAAGCAGCTGAGCCTCACAACAAACTCCCCCGCCCAGCACCCTCATTACCCACAGACCCTGCCCTCTACTCTGGGTCCTTTCCTTTTTACCGGCGCCCTTCCCAGCTGGGCTGCTTCTCCCTGGATACCCAACGCCAGTACCATGGAGATGCCCGAGCCTTGCGCTACTACAGCCCACCCCCCGCCAACGGTCAGGGCCCCAACTTTGACCTCAGAGATGGATACCCCGATCGATATCAGCCCCGGGACGAGGAGGTCCAAGAGCGCCTGGACCATCTGCTGCGCTGGCTCCTGGAGCACCGAGGCCAGCTGGAGGGGTGAGCAGACCACAGCACATGAGATGGAGAGACCAATACCTTCCCCCCTAAAATTAGGAGAGCCAAAGATAGAGGGCATTCAGTCTTTCAAAGGACTATTCTTTGGGGGCTATTCTTTGGGGGAGCCATCTGAGCTAATGCTTGTGTCAGATCTTCAGCCTCTAACTCCTCCCTCTCAGGGGTCCAGGATGGCTGGCAGGGGCCATAGTGACATGGCGGGGGCACTTGACAAAACTGCTGACAACACCATACGAGCGGCAAGAGGGCTGGCAGCTGGCAGCTTCCCGGTTCCAGGGGACACTGTACCTGAGTGAGGTGGAGACACTGGCTGCTCAGGCTCAGAGGCTTGCCCGGCCACCCCTCCTCCGGGAGCTTATGTACATGGGGTACAAATTCGAGCAGTATATGTGTGCAGGTGAGAGTTGCCCCTGCTCTGTAGCCCCCTTTCCCTCCCCCAGAGACTGAGAGCCTCCATCCCTACTGCTGCTTCTCTCCTTGTGCAGACAAACCTGGAGGCTCCCCAGACCCCTCTGGAGAAGTCAACACCAACATGGCCTTCTGCTCCGTGCTACGCAGCCGCCTGGGAAACCACCCCCTGCTCTTCTCAGGGGAGGTAGACTGCACAGACCCCCAGGCCCCATCCTCACAGCCCCCTACTTGCTATGTGGAGCTCAAGACTTCCAAGGAGATGCACAGCCCTGGCCAATGGAGGAGCTTCTACAGGTTCAGGAGGGAGTTGGGCAGGGCAAGAGCTTAGAACTGACAGCTGGGAAAGGAGCTTGGGGTAAGAGGAGGAGACTGGAGGGTAGAGGTGGGGTCCCACTGACACCTTGCCTTTCCTGACATGACAGACACAAGCTCCTGAAATGGTGGGCTCAATCATTCCTCCTGGGGGTCCCAAATGTTGTCGCTGGCTTCCGTAACCCAGAGGGTTTCATCTGTTCTCTCAAGACTTTTCCCACCATGCAGATGTTTGAACACGTCAGGGTAAGGCAATGGAGTCACAGCACCCACCTGTGTCCCCCAAGCAAGACCACAGGTACAGGGTCCAGGGCCGCAGCACGCCTTCCCCCTCTCTCACCCTTGCCCTCACTCATCTCTGCCTCCTCCTCGGCCCTCTCCAGAATGACCGTGATGGCTGGAATCCCTCCGTGTGCATGAACTTCTGTGCTGCCTTCCTTAGCTTTGCCCAGAACACAGTTGTCCAGGATGACCCCAGGTGAGGCATTCAGCTCTACCCCTCCCCTCTGGGCCCAGAAGCTCGGCTTCCAGTCCTCAACTGGTGACTCCATTTTCCCCTCAGGCTCGTCCACCTCTTCTCCTGGGAGCCTGGTAGGCCAGTCACAGTGTCTGTGTATGAAGATGCACCCCATGCCTTCCTGCCCACGTGGTATGTGGATGCCATGACCCAGGACCTCTCGTTACCCCCTAAGACACCTTCCCCCAAGAACTGATGCTTCAGAGGGGACTGGTCCTGTCTCTGTGCACAGATAAAGGCATATTTCTAGGTGGTTCTCCCTGCTGTGTCTTTTGAGCTGAGCTGAGTCTTCCCTACCCAGCACAGCACCTCAAGTACTCATAGGTGGTTTGCTCTTTTATTATTACATTTTTACACGAGGGCCATTCACTGTGTGTAGAGGCTAGCTGCAAAGACGATGTCCCTCCGTAGCAGGGTAGCTGCTGTCTCCATTTTAGCACCTAGCACAGGCTCACCTACCAGGCGGGCTGCCCCCCGCAGCGAGCGACACATCTCAGCCAGGCGCTGGATGCAGCGGACCACCAGGCCTTCAGGGGTCCCAGAGAGCCCTGCCAACTCAGAGAAGGGCTATGGGGGAAGCAGGGTGGGGACTGAATTCAATAGGTCTGGGCAGCCTCTCCCCAACCAGCCATCCACAAAACCCCAAACCCCAGTTACTCACCATGCCCCGAGCCCACTCGTACACAACCTCGACCAGCCCAAAATTCAGCTCCCCTACAAATTCTTCCACTGTCTGGTTCAGGCCACAGGCCACCTGGACCTCACCAATCCGCTTGGCCACAGCCCGGACACGTTCTACTCCCTACAGATGGGGAAGGAGAGATTAAGACCTGCCTTCCTGCTCCGGGATGGAGGAGGCTCAGATCAAGGAAGAAGTCATTCCAGCTCTTAGGAGCACTTACAGGACTGGAGAGGTCAATTGGGGAAACTTTGGGGTGGGGACTGAGAATGCTGCGGCCAGGGTAGAGGAGGAGTGGGTCCCATACCTGTTTGAGAGTGCTTGGGAGCTGCTCCCCAGTGTCCCCAGAGCTCTGGCAGACCAGGCCAGAGAGCAGGGCCGCAATCTCCTCTGGCTGCAGGGCACTCAGAGCATTGTCAAACATGAGTTCAGTGAGGAGCAGTTCATGGCTGCTCATGGCACAAGCCACCCGCCCCGCCAGCTTCACTGTGCCTGCCTCATCTACATAACCCAGGATTCGAAGCACCTAGAAGAAAGATAGTGGGTGTTGGGAGCCGACCATCCTCTCCCTTGCTGGCCCCCCTGCCCCCCACCACTCTCACCTCTACTCGCTGGTGGTACTCGGGGAGCAGCAACAGCGACTGATCTGACAGCAGGAAGCGCAGCCGCTCCATCTCCTTCTGTATCTGCATTCGCTCCCGCAGCTTCAGGTACTGCAGAAAGCCACAGGGAGAGCCACAGGCCAGAGCATGTTAGCCTACCTCTTGCCCTCAAAGGGAAGAGGGAGTTGATTGGGGCGGGGGGTGGGATGGAGGGAGGGCTGAGGACCAGGGCTGAGATGGAGGTGGGCAGCTTACAGGGGACCAGAAAGGAAATGCCCCCTCCAGCTTTGGAGCTAGCATCCAGAGCCCTACCTGGGTAGGAAAACGGGGGCTGTGCACGCACTGGGCCCCCCGGATCAGCTCCTCAAGCTTCCGGGCCCGGAGCTCGCCTTCAACCACCGACACATCCTTGAGCTGCAAGTCATTGACAGGGTCAAGGGTAGGGGGTCCTGCTGGATAGGCCTGAGCCAGACGCAGCAATTCCTGGACAGCAGTGGTCACAGCAGCAATGGGAGGATCCTTCCTGAGGAAGGAGCAGATGAGACTTCTCTTCCACAGGAATCACCCCAGGCACTTCCCTACTCCCCATTACGTGGTCCCTCCCCAGGAAACAGGACTCCCCAGCATCTCTGACTTGAATTTCGGTAGCTGCCTCTTGCTGAAATCCTCCAGGATCTTCTCTCCATTCACCCGGAGCACTTTGGTGGTGATGGCAGCCACGTCTCCTGTCTGGAGCTTGGCCACACTATGGTCACAAGGCCCTGTGAAAAGGGGAGAGCAGGGTCAGACCTCGCCACGAACCCAGTTCCTACATTGCTGTCAGGAACCTGGCTATCTGCCCCACTCTTACCTTCGGGCAAGAACAGCTTGAATCCTATGAGGTCATCCGGGTAGGGCACATCTGGGGAGGCTGACCCCCTCTCCTGTGGGTCCTCAGACGTGGGTTTATCACACAAAACCAGGGTTGTGAATACTCTGCTCATGGAGTTCGAGGAGACCTAGAGAGGTGGGGAGGTCAAATGGGCCATCCGAGGAGTAGACAGCAAAGGTAGAGATCACATCCCCACCCTCAGGCAGGGATCATGGAGCAACCATGCAGAGCCCACCAATATAGACTGGTAACCAAGTCAAGCAATCAAAGCAGAGTGTGGGGATGGGGGTGGGGATTATGGGGGCGTTCAGAAGATGAGGTGAGCATGAAGTGGTGATGGAAAGGAAAGGAGGGCAAAAGGGGAACATGAAAGCACTGGTGAGCATAACCTGCCCCCATTAAATGAGGAAGACAGAGAGGGCTTGCTCCTCCCTCCCTTTGGGGCCCAAATTCCTCCTGCCCTCACCTGCAAGATCACACCCAGTACATTGTGATGCTCCTGATTCTTCACAACCACCACCCTTCCAGCTGAGAGAGATTTTAGCCCGTTTACAGACTCTAGGACACGGCGCTGAAAAGCGGGGATATGCACAAAGGAGACAGGGAGGGTCACAAGGACACTGGGATTAGGTTCAGAAGCACCCAGAGTGTCGAATTCTCTTCCTTCCCGCCCCCCGACCCACTGCCCCA